TCAACGAAATAGCTTCCATGTATCTGGGATGTAATTCCCATTGGTTCAATATTTTAAGAACTACATGTTCCTTGTTATAGATAGACTTCCTATTTTCCCTTTGCTTCCTAAATGACTCAACTTCTTATTTTAATTTGTTCTTAAAGCTTACTCCTGTGACAAGTAGATTTTCTGTTTCATTTTAGTCCTAAAAAACTTAACTTTCTCTTTTCTTTATCACTAAGTAACTCAATTTCTCGACCTTGCTTTTCTCCTAAATAATTCTTAAACAGCAACTTAAACCAAAACCACAGGGATTTTAAAGCACTAAACTTTTCTGCTTATGTTCCATTGGTCCCACTTTCTTTTTCTACTTTTAGGCCATTGAAGGGATTACTTCAGATTCATATTAGAAGGATGGACAAATTATGGTCTAAAATTTTAACTTGGCCTCTGCGGAGTCGCGAGAAATCTCTGGATATTGATAATATCATTTGTTATTAAGTATGTAGTATCAAGCGTTCCATTGGTATGTGAAAAATAGCTGGGGTTGAAAAGGAGGGTTGTAACATAAATAATCTTACAGTTGGAGGTCAGGAGTTTTGAGTTCAAAGAGCATCTAATCAAGTGGTGCTTGTGTGTCTGAGGATGAAGTTTCTTTGGCAGTTGCACGGAATCCATTCAGTTGATGTGTGATTTCAGTAAGTGAATGTCCTCTATCACTGTCTGAAGGAGTTAAAGACATGAGGAACACCAACTTTTGCTTAATGCATTGCAAGAATCGACCAATAGAGGTGGAAAAGAAAAAATAATTGGTTGAACTAGTTGAAAGATTTTGACTGGGGAAGGTAAACATCTAACATTTGATGAGGTTTGGATTGTTTAAATAGGACTAAGTTAGGGTTAGGGTAATTTGGTATTTGAAAAATTTAGGTTTTTCTTTGGGTTTTACAAGCTCCATATGCAATGCTTAGATAGTTGATTTCATAATTCTTTGATTGAGCTTCCATGTGCAATCATTATTGGTTTGGGTTGTTAGGTGTTGCTCCCTATAATTCTTGGTGGATTATCATTTGGCTTCTTAATAAATTTATTTTACCTTTTAGGTAAGACACTTTCCTTGGTGTTATCATGGTTGTTAACCTATTTGGTGTGTCCGACTGAAATAATACATGAAAAAAATAGTTCTCTACTGGAGTTAGAATATGACTTTATACCTCTGCATTTTCATGTAGGCTTCTTAATAAATTTAATTTACCTTCTAAGAAAGATGCTTTCCTTCGTGTTATCATGGTTGTTAACCTATTTGGTTTGTTCGACTGAAATAATACATGAAATAAATAGTTCTCTAGTGAAGTCAGGAATATGACTTCGTGTCTCTGCATTTTCATGTAGACTATGCCAACCAATATAGTTTCTTAAAATATTATAATGTTAATCAATTTTTCTCCAGCTGGCACTTAAATATCTGAAGATTTTTAGAGAAAAATAAACTACTAGTTTTTATGTCTTATCTTTTGTGTTTACACTTAGAAAATATATATATAGAGTAGTTATCTTTATTCTAGTTGGACTCTAATTATACGATATAATTATACTATTAGAACTCTAACTAATATAGTATTCTACTTAACATGAATTATCCCATTTGACTCCAGGTAGACATAGAACCCACTATTCATATATTATGTACCATTGTTAGTTTGCAGAATTTTAACTTTAACACCAAACTGTGTACATATCATTTTATGGAATGATTGAAAATATTAAAATACATCACCTTTTGTTTTTAACAAATAAATTCATGTTAATATAGTATAACAGTTAATAAAAATAACAAATAATTCATGATAAGAAAGAAAAGTATTTTGAGTAGGTCCCACACATCAGAGTGAATAGTCATAAAAATATTAGTACTTTTATTATTACTTAAATGATAAGAGTCTCTTTTATATTTAGCAAGTTTGCATGCATCACAAAATAAAAACTCCATAAAAGTTTTCTTAAATAATTTAGGATATAATTTTTTTAAAATAAAAAAAGAAAGATATCCCAATC